ATGATTTTATCTCTTGTAATCTCTATATATTTTCTGTAAAACTTTTCCTACGATCAATACAACAAATCATCTTCTTTCTATTGTCATGTTCTCTCTTATGAATTTAGCAGTAACAGAGACATCTCAGCACACAAAGAAATAATCATATTATCCATGTCAGACTCTTGCATTGTTTTGTCTTTCGTTTATTAATTTTGTAGTCACACTTGATTTAAGATCACTTATTTAACTTTTCCATACTGTCAAAATTGTCATTTTCTTCGGTATGTCGATTTATTAAGAATCAATTATCAACCAAAGGGTAGAGCAAATTTGATGATTGAGTCAAGATTCAAGATATCACGTTTTTAACTGATTTATACACGATAAAATTTGCATATTGTGGTCGTGTAAAACTTATTATACCATGTCGTAATTAGAGGTGTAAACACCTCGACCCAATCAATATTAATAAACCGAGCTTGAGTCCTAATTAGCTAAATTATAAAAAGAAAACGTATAAAAATCTTTACTTTTGGAGTCTTAGAGAGCCTGGCCAACGGCTTCTTATTTAACAGCTGTAGTGATTGAGCTATTTGCCACCCCTATTAGGAATTGAAATAGTTATAAATAAGATAGTTAATGTAGATAGTTGGAATTTTATTTCCCTCTAATTTTAAGTTGTGTTCAATATTCACACGCGCGCGCATACACACACACATATATATATATATATATATGTAGTATTTGTGTGTGTGTTAAAAGATATACTACTGCCGATTAGTCTATTTTAATGAAATAGTCCTTGTCATTGACAAGTAAAATAAAAGGTGATGGTGATGATATATACTATTGTTGGAAGACAATACCAGGCATGAACATGGTGCAAGTTGACTGGCAAACCAATGGCAAAATTTGATGTTTACCACAAGAATGCAAAATAATTGCGGGATTACGAAGCCAAAAAAATATTTGTAAGCCTACCATATCCATTGCATTTATTTGACCTCATGTAAAATTCAGTTACCATGTTAATTAAGATAAAAGGGTTCCTATAATCACGTGTAAGTGAAAAAATATAAGGTAAGTGTACAAGTACTAAATAATTAGATTCTTTCCACATCGTGCTTGGCAAAAAATCTTGCAATTTCAAATTCAAATTTCAAATTACAAAAAATATACAGAAAAAAGATATAATATATACACAGACACATATACAGAATATACAGAAATTGAAGGATGTATAGTTATATTTTTTTTATTTGCATTGTTTTCAGATTTTTTTTAGTGTGTATGTAGTGTATATTTTACGATTTTGTAAAGGTCTTTAATATATATTTTTTTGTTATGTATATGTAGTGTATATTTTTCGATTATATGTAGTGTATATTTTCCGATTTTTATAATTCAAACTTTAGATTTTTTTAGTGTATATGTAGTG